TGCAGAAGCTGTAGTCATATCCTGTTTCATTCCTAATATCGGTGATCTGTATCTCCTCTCTCTCTCTTGCTAGAGGTTTGTTTATTTAAAAAATCTTCTCAAAGAACCAGTTTTTTTAAACTACTTTTCTCTTTTGTTTTTCTCCTGTATTTCATTTCCATTCATTTCTATTCTGTCTCATTCATTTCTATTATATTTCCTTCCTTCTGCTTGTGATGGGCTTTTCTCTTTCTTCTCTAGGATGGAAGAAAATTGGAGAGTTTTCCTATTTTTAAATGTATGCATTTAGTACTATAAATTTCTTTCAACACTGCTTAACTGTGTCCCACATATTTTGATATGAATACTTTTATTTTCATCTAGTTTAATCTATTCTTTTGTTACCGTTAAGACTTCCTCTTTGACCTATGGATTATTCAGAAGTGTGTTGTTTAGTTTTGAAGTGTTTGGTGATTTTGCTGTCATCTTTCAGTTACTGATCTCAAGTTTTATTCCTTTGTGGTTAGAGAACATACTCTGCAAGATTTTTAATTTTTAAAAATTAGTTGAAGTGTGTATCATAGCCAAGCTATGGTCTATTTTGGTATATTTCCCATGGGCATTTGATCCAGCACCTTCTGCTGTTGTTGGGTGGAGTGTTCTATAACTGCTGATTAGATTCTAGTTGTCCTAATAATTGTTGAGAGAGATGTTGAAGTCTTTAATTGTGGATTTGTCTATTTCTTTTTTTGGTATATATCTATTTCTCATTTTGACTTTTGCTTAACATATTTTGCAGCTCTGTTATTTGGTGCATATGCATTTAGGATTGCAATGTTTTCTTGGTGGACTGACCTTCTGCCATATTCCTCTCTTTGTGTGGTAATTTTCTTTGCTCTAAAATCTATCTGATGTTAATATAGCCACTTCTGCTTCCTGTTGATTGTTTGCGTAATATATTTTTTCCATCATTTTACTTTCAATCTGCCTATACTGATATATTTGAAGTGAGTTTCTTACAGACAGAATATAGTTAGGTCACTTTTCAATCAATGTTGCAATCTACGTTTTAGTTGGTAAATTTTAATATAAACTTAGACCATTTACATTCAATGTAGTTATTGATATGTTAGGGCTTAATATATCATTTTATTTGCTGTTTTTGTTTTTTTCTGCTTTTAATTTGTTTTCTTCTTCCTGCCTTTCAGTGAGTTACCTGAACTTTTAAAAATAATTCCATTTTGATTTATCTACAGTGTTTCTGATACCTCTCCATATAGCTTTTTTAATGGTTACTTTAGGTATTAAATTTTATGTATCTATAATATTACATTCAAATGGTGTTACGGTTTTATCTGTTTAAGTGGAGAAACATTACCATTCTTTGCTTCTCTTTACCCACTCTCATTTATAATACATTTGTCTTCAATATTTTCTCTACATATATTTAGATACAGGCATACCTCATTTAACTGCACTTCACGAATGTTGCATTTTTTAAAAATTGAAGGGTTGTATCAACCTTGTGTTGTCAGATCATGGTTAGCACTTTTTAGCAATAAAATATTTTAAAAATTTAGATATACACATCTCTCTTAGACATAATACTATTGCACACTTAATACAGTATAATGTAAACATAACCTTTATATGCACTGGGAAGCCAAAAATTTTGTGTGACTCGTTTTATTGCAGTAAAAGCCAAGCCTGCAGTACCACCAAGGTATGCCTGGGTAAGCAGGTATGGGCGAGGGGGCACTGTTCTTCATTTGTTTGTTTCATGTATGGTGTTTGCCTGGAGCAGAGTAGTTATTGTCAAAATTTATTCTGTCTTGCCAGGCCATCCTTTTCCCGGTCTTTTAGTTAGAGAGAGCAGGCTTTTGTTGGGGCTTTATTCTTGGTCTGCATCCCTTAGCATTTCTGGGTCACTGGCTTCTTTGGCTCCAATTCTAGGATATGGGAGGCAAAAAGAAAACCCAAGTAACTTGTCACCAAGCTGCTCCTTGGGTCTCAAGGTTCCTAGTCATTGTGTCTTCCCTCCCACCTTTCAGAGTCTTCTTATATTTGCTTTATATAAAATGTCCAGAGTTCTCAGCTGCACTTTGCGGGACAAAGACAGGAAAGTACATCTACTCCATCTCCCTTGAAGAAGTAGTCCTGAGGCATTTTTTAAAAGCTGGCCTATAGTTCCACTTTCACACACACACACACACAAAAATTTCCCTGTGAAATAGGGGCAGCATCCCAGTGTCCTTCAAAAGAAATGAAAAACAAGCTTGCAGTAGGAGACAAGACGATTAGCAAGGTTTAGACCTTTCCAAGTTGCCTGTCAAGACATTACACTAGTGGCAGAAAGCTACCTCTGTTTGCTAGAAATGCCCTGAGAAAATGAGATAATGTGAACATTGGTGATTTTCTCCACTATCCATACAGATCTCACTTGTCTGGGATCTACATGGCTAAAATCTGCTTGTTCTTCTCCACCTTCCCCAAAATCCAACAACTACACACACTTCCACTGTCCCCAAGCCTCTCAGAGACTCCACTGTCTTCCTTCAATGATCTAACCTTTTCCCAGGTAGAATACACACCATGAGACCAGAAGCACCTCTATTTTCAGCACCAAGCCTCCATTACTTATGGCTGCCATGACCACTTTGTGTAAATTAGAAAATACTCTTTCCTTAATAGTCAGTTACCATTCAAAATTATGATGACCCTGCTGTCAACAGTACCCTCTGATTTGTGAAATGCACAACCTGCTCAACAGCACAGATCCTACAAATCTACCTGGGCCTGCCCCTTTCCATATTCCTTTCTCAGGGTTACTACCTGAGATCAGCTCCTCACTTGTGCTATGCATAACTCCTTCTCCTGTTCTCCTGCCTTATTAAGAAATTTCTTCATTCTTCATGGGAATGGGTCAGTTTGGTCATGGGATAATCAACACCAAAAGTCCTTCTCATTGTCGATGAAAAATTAATCAGTAGTCAACCTAAGAAAGAAATGGAAACATTTATTTGAGCCAACCTGAGGATTACAGCTTGGGAGTCTTTCAGAAAGCTCTGAGGAATGCTCAAAGAAGTAAGTGGGGAGCCCAGTATATACGTGATTTGGTGAGAGGGGACGTGCAATCCAGCACACATCTTGGTAGAAGGTTGTTGCTATTTGCGAGGAAAAGATACCATAGTTAATAGGTTTTAGTCCTTTTCTAAGTATGGGAAGATGCAAGAAACTGTGTTCACAAAATTTTCTCCTGAAAATATCTAACTATCTAGGGCCAGTTCTGCCAGTTTTCCCTGAGCACAAAATGCCTCATCCTGATTTTTGCCCTGAATTCCTTTCACGGTGTATTACAGGTCAGCAACTGTAGTGGTCGATGACTTGATTCTTGTAGAACTGGGTAGTGGGCAACATTCTTTATTTCAAAAGTCCCTCCCTCTTGGTCTTAATTTTGACCAAGGTTTGGGAGGCACTTCATGACCAATTTGTCCCCTGGCACTAGGAATGCTCATTCCCAGGTCAGGAAAGAATTTTGTTGATAGGCCACTCACTGTGCTATTACTGGACTTGGCCCCATTAACAGTAGCCAAAGTCTCTAGACCACCTGTCCTAACAGTCTGTCATGGTCCAGGAATTATTCCCTCTTGTCGTTTCATCCCATATCTGGAGTTATACATTATAATCATTGACCTTATAGGATTATATATTTGGCCAATTGCTTCAAGTTGCCTAGTTATTATTTTTATCAGAGGTTCAGTCACATTTTTGGTAATGTATGAAACAATAATCTTGTGAAATAGGCAGAATACAAGTAATATACCTAGTGACATTAATAAGGTCATAAGTAAGTAGTGTTATCATCTAGTGAGTTTCACAGCTGGCCCTGGAAGAAGAAAAAATTTTCTTTATGGCTGAGCAAGAATTTCTGCCATTGGGGAGGTCTGGTTAATGCATAATGCAGATGCACAAAGCACACTAGCAGCAAGGAAGGAGACCCAAGTGGGCAGAAAAAAATCCATTTAAATTTTTATTATCTTGCCTTAAAATATGAATTTTATTTCGTAATCATCAATATTTAAACAAGCTTATGTCTCTCCAATCTTAAAAATAGAGAAAAAAAATTAACATCCTCCTTCCAGTTTCCTTCTCACTTCTTCATGAACAACTCCTTGGAAGGCCTGTCTATGCTCGTTCGTCTCTGTTTTCTCACCACCACCCTCACTACTCCTCAATTCAGTCCAAACTGGCCTCCTCCCTGCAGTCCAATGAACCTGCCCTAGGTAATGGCAATGACTGTTCAATCATAGCATCTCTCAGTCTTCAACTCACTAATTTCCCAAGAAAACTGACCCACTTTACTACACTTCTTTGAAGCGCTCTTCTCTTATCTTCTGCAATGTCATACTCTCCTGGTTTTGGTCCTAAGGCTACCTGATCCTTCTCCTCTTCTCCTTTAAGTGGAGAAGCTCTTGGGGGTAGCACTGCGCCTGGTTCCCAAATAGTATTCTCTCCACCAGGCAATCTCTTCCATGCTTCTGCTCCATTCCTATCCCTGTGCACAAATCTAAAACAGAGACTTCCAGCTCAGGTCTCTTGTCTAGGAGATCCAAATAGGTGCATTCCATGGCTGCTGAACTTCTGCTCTAGAGGGTCCCACAGGCTCACCCTGTCTAAACTCATACTATTTCCACAAATCTGCTTCATCTCCTGTGACCCCTTCCAGTATGTGGAACTCTAATACTCCCCCAGCTATCAACCCAGAAGCCTGGAAGTCACTCAATTCTTTACATTCCACACAACCAACACACCACTGCCTACTTCCCAACTACCTTTCCAAACATCCCTCCCTCTATTCACAATGCCAAGGCCCCAGACCAAGTAACCAAAGTCCACAGAGCCTCTAAATATGCCCCATATCACAGGGCCCATGTGGTCCGTGGGCCTCATGCTTCAAACCTTCCACAGGCACCGCGTGGTGAGTCCTTCCGTATCTGTCTTAAGAGGTTGGACTGTCAGGAGGGAAAGCGCCCGTGGGTACTGTTCACCGGGTTCTGAAGCACAGTACAGGATCTTGCTCCCCGTGAGGTGTCAGTGAGAACGACAGAACGAGAGAATGACAGTCAGAGGGAGCGTTCACCCTCTGTGCACCGCAGCAGGAGCTCAGGGCCTCGGGGCCGCCATTCCCTCCGCCACACACAACATGGCGGCCACCTGGCCCCACTTCCCTACTTCCGTTTCCGGGGCTGAACCTCTCCGGTTGCCCAGGAGCCTCTTGGAAGCTAACAGTGTAAGGAGCGTCTGCTACTTTCCCTTCTCTTCTTGCCTCCACTCCGCTCAGCTTGACCGGGCGACCCGCGGCTTGTCGGTAAGAGGAGGGCGGAGGGAAGAAAGGACGCGGCTTTGGGGGGGGGAGGGGGACGGAGGCGGGGGAGGTGGCCCGGAGGCAGGTCAAGTAAGTTGAAGTTGAAAACCGACCCCAGAACCGGTTATTATCGGGCTGCTGAAAGTGACAGATGCAATCTGCAGGCGGAGACATGATGCTTAGTAGCTAGGACTTATCTCCATAAAATATGTGTATACCCAGGCCTCCGCAGCTTGAAAACCATTTTCTTCTCCTTTAAGATTTATTCAGGAAATGGGCCCAGCCACCACTCACATTGCTGGTAACTTTTCCTCCTGTTTCTGGGGTCATGTCCAGCAAGAAGCGTCTGTATTGGTTTTCATTGATGCCAGGCACTATTCTTCAAGCTTCTTATCCTTCACTGACATGACAGTGAAAACGCAAGAGGAGAAAGCACTGTAAAGGGGCTGAAAGGACTACAGGAGACCAGAGCCATTGACTTCTATTTTTAAAATGAACATCTCTTCCTTAAAGGAACGTTAGGATTTTGGCATCTTAAGAAGTGCCATGGTACTTGAAAGCAGTAGATATTTTGCTATAGATGACAAGAAAGATGGTAACCAAATATATAGCCCCTGACTTACAGACTTAGTGAGTAGAGCCGTGATTGTCCTCAGCTGTAACCTTGGCATTGGAACAGGCTGTAAAAGTTACCCGTCCTCAACCACTCATCACATCCCCACATTCAGTTTTGCTTAATTGTTTTATGTGGTTCCTGGTCTGTTTGTTTTTTGTCAGGGTGCAGCGGAAGCTCCCAAGTAGCTGAGAAGTTCATGGAATCTCCTTATTGGTACAACTTTCACTATTGTTTGTGTGGGGTACAGGTGAGCAGACATTTCTCAAGCACACTGTTCACATACACAGCACATGGAGACTTGATTTCAAAAAGGCAAAAGAAATAGGTTTGAGTAATTGGTGAGTGTAACATAGAAAGGACATTTCATTTGATAACAGGAACATAGCTTTTGTGCCAATAAAGTGCTTTAAAAATTAGTGTGTGATTTTTAGTAATTAGCATATAATTTGAGTTATTGGTTCATAACAAACAGACTAATTAGGAACCCCACTCGGTCATTTATCTAAATGAAAAGTTCTGCTAAATTGTATTTGTGGGCATTGATCAAAGCTAATGGGAAAAAGAGATTAAGATGAAAATCATGAAATTAAATTTTTAATTAGTTTGCCCCCTGAACAATTGCATGGGGTGACACGGTGATGGATTGGCTACTTACGCCTGCCCAGGTAGGATGTGGTTCTACTACCAAAGCTCTGAGCATAAAAGTGTTTTACAAAAGACTGAATATTTTATTCGGTTATCTTTCTCTTCATTCCTGCTTAACAAGGTTTGAAAAGGAAGGCAAGGTCTGGGATCGCACAGCCCTATGTCTGGTGATACATATGAAGTATGAGGTGGGAGCTTCAGTTAATTCATTATTAAATATCTAAAACTTAACATGTCTAAAATAAAACTGTCCATTTCCAGACCTCTTCCTCTCCCTGGGTTCTTTATTTGGACAAGTGGCAACACCATGCATTAGTGTGCTCAAAGCAAAAACCCAAGAGTAATCTTGAAACCCTCTTTCTCTCATTCCCTACAGCCTGCCCATCAACAAGTCTTGTAAGTTTTTCCTCCAAAACATATCTAAAAACCACTGACTGTTCACATCTCTACCATCCTAACCCAGGCACCTCACTGCAACCTCTCTTAATCTGGTATCCCTGCTACAAATCTCATGACTCATTTCCTCCAACACGTGCCACCCCTAGTCCATTCTCCACATAACAGCCCGAGTATTTGTGTGTAACGTATATTAGATTCTATAACTCCTCTGTCTAGAACCACCCACTGTCTTCCCATACTAATTGTCTAGCCCTGTAAGACCCTACATGATCTGGATTCATCTGTGACCATTCTCTACCTCTCCACTCACTGTGATCCACCACACGGTCTTTCTTCAATCTGCCAGGTTTGGACCTGCCTCAGGGCCCTTACACTAATTATTCCCTTTGCCTGGAACCCCAGATTTTTGCAAAGCTGAATCTCTCTTGTTTAGATATAAGCTTAAATGTTACCTCCTCAAATAGGCCCTTCCTTCACCACCCAAACTAAAGTAGCGTCCTTTATTTTCCCATCACATCATTCAGATTTCCTTTCATCACAGCACTCCTCATGATTGCACTTCTCTTGTATCTTTCTTCCTTTGTGTATTGCCTAAGTCCTCCTACCAATATGTAAACTCCATGAAAGTAAAGATCATGTCTTTCTTGTGTGTTACTCCATCCCCAGGGCCCCAAATAGTCCTCGGTGCATGAATGAAAGAATATGTGAATGAATGGATTCTGTTGTCACCAAGCTGTTACCATCTCATCTCAGGTACCCGGACACAAGAAGGCTGGGAGAGATCAGGAGACCAAATGCCACACAGAGTGGACCTTAAGACATGAGACCAGCAAGGACACAGAATGGAGAAGGACAAGAGAAACATCATCAGGGGTGGGGAGGACAGGGGAGCGATGAAGGGACATGGAAATGATAGAGGGTAGCTCTTCAGATGTATCCTAGAAATCCTAAAACTTGCACAAGCATGCACCTGCATGCACTTACTCACACCCGGCCTAGATTGAAGAAGAGCAGCTCTCAATGTTTGCTCTGTGCCTGTATCTTCCAGAACACCTCCCTGCTAGAGGTGTGTAGCCTTCACTGTCCAAGGAGTCTGAATCAGAGGTCTAGGTCAGGCCCACGTGTCTGCTGCCATGTAATACTTGTAAGCTGGGCTCATTCTTGGTCAGGACAATAGGCTGCTGTGAATACTAGCAGCTTGGAGAAGGCAGCATGGCATCCTGCAGTGCTTCTGTTAAACCACCCTGTCGGGTCAGCCTGAGCAACTTCCCTCCATGGACCTCAGTTTCCCTCAACTATAAAGTGAAGGCCTTAGCTGGACCCCCGAGTAACTGTAACACTCAGACTTCTCTGAAATCGGGTATGTGGGGTTCCCTCCTCCCTGAGGAGCTGGGGGGGTGGGCTACTTTTTAGAAAACCTTGAATCTGAGGCTACATCCCAATTTGGTGATTCCACCTAAATGATATGTTTTCTCTAAAAAGCACTTTACCACATTCTCTCATCTAATATTTATACTGAGAATTGATGAAAACATCAGGAGCAAATTATGCGGAAGTGGCTCAGATGTATTCCCTGACTCAGGTGGACTTGAGGGGCTAGGGGTGGAAGAGAGAAAGTGACTATCACTGGTGCTCAGGTTTAAAACAATGAAGAAAAAATGGAGCTTAGACCTTAATCCTTTCATAAAACATTCTCACCCCAAGTTGGTCACTAAATTCCTGGGATTAGCCTCCTCTCTCCCACGCAATG